GGAGCTCTGGTAGCGTAGTGCCTAAGGCACTTGACTGCTAACCAGAAAGCTGGTGGTTCAAACCCACCAGCCACTCCTTGGAAGGAAGATGGGGCAATCTATTCCTTAGTGATACTGCCTCAGAAACCCAAGGAGGGGTTGCTATGAGTTGGGTTCAACTTGACGGCACATAACAACAACAACAGAGAGTGCTTTGTCTTTAGAGACCTTTAATGAATGGAATAGAATACTCTGCCTATTGTTTGTAGACTGCTACTGTAATATAGTTTTATAGTTTATTTTCCTTTTTAAATAATAACTGATGAATGGTCAAGATAACACTAAAAGTAAGGTGGTAATTTTTTTGTTTTAAGGTAGTAAGAAATCTTGTTTTAAGTTCTAGAGTTAACATATTTTCTCACATAAAGCACACCCTTGTATATAACATGCATAGCTCACGTAGGAAATTAACACGGGGTTGCATTTTCTGGAAAAAAGCATACAACATATGTATTATTTGCATAAAATATGGTAATTAGTTGTTTCATGTTTTAAAAGTAACTGTATCTTGTGTGTACATTAAAGCTAATTCTAGTTTCTCTTTAATTTAAACTTTAAAATAATTCACAAGAAAATTTCTGTTTGCTTTAGAGTGAACATAGAAAATTTCATTTCCAGTTGTTGTTGTTGTTGTGTGCTGTTGAGTCAAACCCGACTCATAGCGATCCCTCCTTGGGTTTCTGAGGCAGTATCACTACAGAAGTAGGATTGCCCAACCTTCCTTCCGAGGAGTGGCTGGTGGGTTTGAATGCCAGCCGTCTGGTTAGCAGGCAAGTGTCTTAGCCACTATACTACCAGTAGTCCTACTTAAAATAGATTAGTCTTAATCAATAATTTTTTTGGTTTTGGTTGTTTAACTTTGAATTCCAGTGAATAGATTTGCCTTTCCAGATTGTATTTTTTAAGAGCGCATTTCTTTGGTTTCAGGAGTACCACTGTTGATGGGTTAAGGAAAAGACCTCTCATTATATTTGATGGAAGTTCAACAAGTACAACTATAAAAGTGAAAAAGACAGAGAATGGAGATAATGATCGACTAAAGCCTCCCCCTCAGGCAAGCTTTACCAATAATGCCTTTCAAAAATTACCAAATTCCTCTTCAAGTGTTTCACCCCTAATTTTGTCTTCCAATTTGCCTATGAACGATAAAATGGAACACAATAATAATGACACTAAACAGAACCATGACTTAACGCATAGGAAAAGTCCTTCGGACCCTGTGAAGTTGCCACCATTATCCCCTGTGGGAACTACTCCAGTGAAGTTAAAGCGAATTGCTCCTAAAGAAGAAGCAGAGACTGTAGTAAGTATGGGGGTGGCTTTCATACTAGTAAGTGTGGATGCAAATGAGTGGTCTGTCTAGCAGCCTGAGATGTGTCATGTATGCTGCATGCTATTCTTGAATCCTTTAATGGTTATTTTATTTTTACATCTCATTAGTTTTATGTGTTTTGAACCCTGAGATTGTGAAATCCATGATAATAAACTCTTATTTTAAAAAATACACTCAAGCTTATTTCTATTTAAAATATATAAAGAGAATCTCTTAAATGCTTATCCCCCATCTTTTTATTTAGTTCCTTTAATAAATGATCTTAGAACTAAAAGATAGCTTACTGAGGTTCAGAATGTTAACTAATTGGCCCAGTCACACATTTATTAAGTAGTATTTTGTGAACTGACTTTGTCTGTTTGCACTCTAAAACCATACCAGAGCTTTTTAAAATTGACCACTTGCCTCCTCTCCCCATCAAAAGTAAGTATCTTTGGAAGGTTAGGTTGTGCTCTACTGTATGTAAGCATCTAATTCGTAACATTTGGATGTTCGGATTTCACCATGCTGGCAAATTTTTTAGAGTTTAATTAGTGAGTTATGGTTTGTTTGGTGTTAGTTTTTTAAATACAGTCAGCCCTTCCCTAGGTTCTTCAGAAAAATGATTTCATTTTTAAACACCCAGCAGTTTTATAGCTTGTATTCTTGTTCTATACTTTGACTGTGTTATCTTTTAATTGTGTGTCAAAAGAATCAAAACTCAAAGTAGTTCAAATATTCGAAAATAGTAGACACTATTAGAGGAAAAAGAAAGCTACTGTGTACTTGACAGGCCCTAAATTCTTTCCTTATACTTATTCATTGAATTAGCAACTTTACTGTTACTCTCATTTAACAGATGAAGAAACAGAAGCATAGAGAATTTAAATACATGTATTTAAATAAATTAATAAGTGACCAGACTGGAATTTGAACTCAGATTTCTTTGATCCCAAAGTACGATGCCTCAACACTTAACCACCTTTGTAGGCTAGAGAATGAAGGTGTTGGATGAGTTGGAGAAAAAATCCAGATTTCAAATATTGCAATAAGGAGTGAACTTGAGGATTTTTCCCCAAGGTTCTTCAGCATTCCTCTACCCATGGAGATTTTACCCTTTGAGAGGTGTGATTTAAAAAAACAAAACAAAAACTCTTTTTCTTGCTAATTTTCGATTGTGAGATAAAAGAAAGAGGCTAGGCAGGAAGGGACTGGAGCAGTCAGTGGATCTCAACTCTTGACTGCATATTAGGATCGCCTGAGGAACAAAAACCAAACAGAAAGTAGTCAAAAGTCCAGTCCCCCCACTCTACTGTGGATTCTGATTTAATTGGTTCTGGGATGAGGCCCAGCCAGGAGCATGTTTCTCATTCCCCTAGGTGATTCTGTTGTGCAAACAATTGAGAACCAAGGGTCTGGAAAAATAGAAACTAGAGAAAGCTTATGTTTTTTTTGTTTGTTTTAACCAAGACAATTCAGTGACATTAGCTACGTTCACAACATTGTGCAGCCATCACTATTATCAATTTTCAAACCTTTTTTGTTGTCCCAGACAAGAACTCGGTACACCTTAAGTAACAACACCCCGTTCCTCCTTCCTTCCAGTCCATGGTAACTACTAATCCACTTTTGTGTCTGTGCATTTTCCTGACTAGATGTTTCATATAAGGGTAATTGTACAAAATTTACCCTTTATACAATATTTGTCTTACTTCATTCAGTGTGTTTTCAAGGAATCCATGCTGTGTAGTATATATCAGGACTTCGTTTCTCTTTATGGCTGCAAAATACGCCATTGTATGTATATATCACATTTTGTTCATCTATTGATAGACATTTGGGCATTCTACCTTTTGGCTATTGTGAATAGTGCTGCAATAAACATTGGTGTGAGGCTTATGTTTTTTTAATCTCAAGCTGTTCATGAAATACATTCCATGAACAGATGGGAGTAGTGAACTGGCATCACTGTATTAATAGTAAACCTTGGTTTAAAATTGTTTCAACAAGAGATAATTTCCTGCTTTGAAATGTTTGTTGAAGCTGTGTTTTCAGTAATAGAAGGCATTTTGAGGTGATACGGATTTTGATACAATTTTGGGACATAAATGTCCTGAGGGGTCTCTAGTGCTGGGTTGGGTGGAATAAGGCCCATTTCTTCAGGTTCACACAGTTACACAGGCCCCTACCACATGGCAACAGGCACTGAAAATGGTACAGCAGCTTCCCACTAACCCCAAGGGGTGGAAAATGTAGGTGGTCACTATATGTACCGTTGGTCACAAAAGGGTTAAGGTTTTCATTTTATTTGCTGACATTTCTACAAGTAAAGTGATTCTTATTCTGTCTTTTCAGAATAACCTGAAGCCCCCAGAAGCAAAGAGGAAGATACAACATGTTACATGGCCATGAAGGAAAGTTTCCCAAAAATGTAAATATAGCTATAACTAGTTTTTCAAACAAATTCACATTTATTGACAGTATTTACAAAGACCCTGATTATTAGGGAATTTTCTTAAGATGTTTAAAATTAGGTTTAAAAAATTATAATGTTTCCTTTAATTTTTTCAGTCTTCCTTCCTTCTTTTGAAGTTCTTGCTTCTTATGCCCTGAATAGGAAAGAATTTCTTTTGAAACTAATGACTTAGGTATGAGTCATTTATATTGATCCTGATGTAATCATTAGCTATAGGTCTGGTATAAAGCATTCATTTAATGGATGTTAGGAATACTCTTACTTGTCTCTTTCAGAGTCTTTGGTGGGGGGGACATTTGGGATTTTTAAAAAACTCAAAATAATTTACTAGGATAAAGTTTTTCCCAAAGAGAAGAATGTAACAGTCCATTTTAGTAAATATAGCCAAACTCACCCTCAAGCGTTCACCAAGAAAAGCATATTGGTAGTACTGCCAGAAGACTAATCAGAATAGACAGATAAATTGCTGTTCTTTAAATGCTTATGTTGCTTCCTCCCATAAAAATCAAAGGGAAAATCAGTGCTTGCTATTTCTCCTTCCTTTGCTGAGGTACCAGAATTAATTCACCTTTAATCAATTGGTCAATTTCCATCCTTTAGCCTTCTCTTGGAGCCCTGGTGACACAGTGGTTAAGGCATTTAACTGCAAACTAAAAGGTCAGCAATTCAAACCCACCAACCACTCCATATGAGAAAGATGAGGCAGTCTGTCTCTGTAAAGACTTACAGAACCTTGGAAACCCTGTGAGGTAGTTTTACTCTGTCCTATAGGGTCTGTTTGTCAGAATCAACTGCAGTGGGTTTGGTTTATCTTTTTCTGTGTAGTTTTTTCTTGTCATGCAGGAGTCCTGCCTACTCTTTCATGACCAGTCTGTGATCTCACTGCAAGTTTAGGTATTGCTTCCTCTTAGGAGCTTAAGTGTTTTAAAATTAAGTTGACTATAATATATTCAGGCTAAAGTGATCATGTTAGAGGTAGTACTAATGGTAGAAAATATAGAGAATAGGAAGAGGATAACAATTCTAAAACTTACAAGAGTCTGGAAAGTATAGCAGGGAGGGGAGAAAAATCAGTGTCATCAAGAGAAGAAAGCAGAGGAGGTCCTAAAGTCCGGATAACACTACAGAGAGCAGCATAGGAAAAATGACCTCAAAGCTAGACTGGACTCCCTGTAGGTGTAATATTGACGGCTTCCCACTGACGGTCGGAGTTCTCTACTAAGGATTTTTGTTTACTTTTTGTTAAAATAGTAGTATCACTCCAGTTGTATAATGGAAGTCTGTGGTAAAATAGGATTTACCATATATTCGTGAGTTTTAGAGTTTAACTTTTTTGCCACGTATTTGTTTCTGAGAATGAATCCTTCATATTTTTTCCTTTGTATGATTGATCTTCATATGGGGGTCTGCCTTTTTCAATACTTATTAGAGAGTCTCATTCCTCTTCTGATGTTAAAACAGTCATCTCAGTTCAGCTATTGCATAGCTTTATAAAAAATTAATTCAGCCTTGCAGGTAAGTACTGTACTAAAACTTTAACCTACAGTTTTTTAACTATTCTGCCTTTATTCCAGACTATAAATCTGTACACTTGAGGCATAATTGATACTTCCTAAGTGTTGCATAAATTGTTAATGATTTTAAATATATAGTTATCTGCAGGGCTGATATATGTCATATTGTTTATGTGCATTTGTGATCCTATGAATATAAAGAGAGATTTTAAAAGTACAGATTTAAGGGTAAAATGACAAATTCTATTTTATATTCATTTGCCCCCTCTGCTTCCATTTGCATTTCTCTCTTAGTTAAGAGAGAGTTAGCCATTTGGCAATTATAAGTCAGTGGAAGCTTATTTTTAGTTATTCAATGAAATTAATTTTTAATTTGTATATTTAACTTACAGAGTAGGTTGGTAATAACAGCTGAACTGTGTAACATTGTTGCTTCAAATTGAAGTTTATATTTTGAACATTCAGAGTCAATGTTCATATAGCAGCATACTGAGCTATTTTGAGTTTATAATGTAGAGAAGAGCTAAACCATGTTCCATGTATTACATAATACCAACATCTTCTAGATTTGTGCCTTCTGGAGGTATATCGATACAGCTTGCTTTTCTCCACTTACTGTTTCCTTCCATTTGATGAAACATACTGAATGATGGGAATTGAGCAGAAGTGTTGGAAATGTTATGTTTTGAAATGTTGCTTGGTGTGCTTTAAAGGTTAAAAGGACTTGATTTTAATTGCAAAGAGCTTTGGAATACCCTTTACTCACTAACATGGTTTAATATTGTTGCTCCTGAGTCTATGTTCCATTAAAGTCAGATTTTCTTATTACTGGGATTGGCAAATGAATGACTTCAGAGTCAGTGGGTGACTTCTGAGGTGTATTACAGGCACTTTACTACTTCCTGCCATTGTCTTTGTTCTTTTCTTTCTCCCCCTCTTTGTTCCATTTCCCTTTTTATAATTTACTTCCATTCTCCTTCCTCCTTTCTGTAGATCCTAAGCCTCAACTTAGGTGTATAAGTCATATTGCTCAGCCCTGTTCACTCACTGAAGGATCAGAATAGGCTGACTCCTAGTCCTCTTATATTTGAGGGATCATAGCCTGCTGCATGAATGCAAGAAAGTCTTAAGACTCTGCAGCACCAAGGCCCAAAATTGCTTCTCAATGATTGTAAAGGCAGTATAGTTTTCCCAAAATAGTTTTATTAATCTACAGAGCTACCAGGCACTTAGGAAAGCTGGTTCAACTGATACTATGAAACCATAATATATTTGCTAGTATTAAAATTCTTCAGAATTGTAAATACTGTTTTAAATAATATTTCAGTTGGCTTAAGTTTTGAAAGGTGATTCTAAAAATGATCTAGAGACTCATTCAGTAGCAGTTTTTTTTTTTTTTTGAAACTTATGTTAAGTAAAACTGCCAGTAGATTAAATCGTATGTCTGTAAGAGCTTCCTCCATTTACTATTGTGGAACTTCAGTAATTTTTAGAGACTACAAAATGGTCAAAATGTTTTTAAGTGTGCTCTTTTATTAAATGCTTGTGCAGGTTTTGTACTTCAGTACAGAAAAGTTTAACCTTGTAATGTACATTTTTGTATGTAAAAAGTCTTTTAAGTAGTCTTATCCTTATTTAAATAAACTGAATAAAATGATCTTTTGACTATGTTTATTATTCATTAGAAAAATACTCTTCAATGACTTGATCTGATTTTGAGTGCTTACTGCCCCTTAGCCAGTAATATTTTCAACCTTTTCCATTGGATACATGTGTGGCTTGGAGACCGTTTCACAGTTTCAGGAGTTTATATTTTTGGCCTGTGTTCAGCCAGATATTTATAGCTCAGAAGTTCTTTTTTTCCTAGCAGCTCCTTAGGGGGCTTAGCCTTAGGCATGCACACATACAGTCTTCCACACCACCAGAGGAGTGTGATTATAAGCCTGGCCTTCCAGGAGTTGCTGTTGGGTCAGAATACCAGCCATTGTCTGGCTGGAGGTAGTGCTTAATTCATTTGGGCTAATAAGATTTCTAGCTTTTCCTGTTGGATCTGTATGTGGCTGTGGGGATGCTTTCAAATCTGCTCCACATTCCGCTCTGATTGCTCCCAAGTGGATGCAGTACAGTGAATTACTTAATATGGCCCTTCTAGCCAGAACTCTCCATTTTGTGATGAATTGTAAATCTTAACCTCTGCCTGTGGTTATTTTGTGGTTATTTATATTTGCCTGTGGGTCCCATTTTGGAGTGAACTGTTCATTATGTTAATGAGGCATGATTAGAATGGGATGTATCTTGAGTCCCACCTTACTAGAGGGTGTGACTCAAGTCACCATCCTTAGTTTCCTTGACAGTGTATGTATGAATGCTCTGGCAGAGTTCACTCTCTTGCTCTGGATCCTGCATCTGGTTCATACCATCTCACCCCCAGTTCTTGGGGCTTGAAACAGCAGCCACTCTTACCTGACCCGATTTAGATTTGTCAGCCCCTGCAACCACAGTAGTCAGGAGAATCCTCAGACCAGTGCCTGAACCACGGAATTGGGACTTGTCAGTCTCCATAACTGCATGGGCCATTTCCTAGGCATTTCTTCAGTTCTGAGACATTACAGTGGAATATGGAACCCTCAGATGGGAGGGAGAGTACTGAGGGGAGGATAAAGAGTTGATGTTAAAGATGATGGAGTGGTACATAGTTTGGAAAAGTTGGACAATTGTGACATCTTTAACCTCCATCTCATAGGGACCAACCTTGTGCTCATCCTTCTAACAAATTACTTCAGCAGTGGGTGTAGCCTAGTCACAGCCTCTGGACCCCTGGGGATGAGAATAATCCCAAAAGGTTCTTTTTGATTATCTCTTTCCCTGGTTCTCCCTGTTAAACTTTGGGCTGGTCTGCCATTTTGCTTTTTGCTACTAATATGGAGTAACACTCTTAATTGCTTGCCACCAAGGTCTCTATTATTTTCACAATACCCTTAAGCACACGTTTCTCTGTGATCTGTCCCAAATAAAGTCAGTCTTCTCAGACAGCTGAGCTACCAGTCCATACAGTCCATACCAGTCCATACTCCCCCTGGGAGCAGGACAGCAATCCGTTTGTCCTGGCTGTCAGCTCTGCTCTAAGAGTGGCTGCTTAAGGGGTGGGATTGGTAGCCTCTGGTCTGCTCAACTTGCTCCTGCTGATATGGTACTTCTGCTCTTTGAGCAGGAGCACTGGTGGCATAGTGCCTAAAGCATTTGACTGCCTAAAGCATTTGACTGCTAATCGGAAGGTTGAGCAAGAGTAGCAGGGGAGGGAGCAGGGATCCTCAAGAGCAACCAGAACCTGGATATTCTTGGCCTGTAATCCCTGGGGCAGAGCCCTAGATCATTTGCTGTTGGGAGAGGGAGCCCTTCTTGATTGCATTTGCCTAGAGTAGATGGCTCAGGGTAGAGCTCGCACATGAAGCTCAAAAGGGTAAGGGTGGGAATGGGAGCAGGTTGTAGCTCAAATCCCACAGAATCCTGTTACACTAAAACTTAGATTTTCTAGAATGTTTCTCTGTTTGCTGTATGCCTTTAGGAGAAGTTGTAGATACTTCAAATTGTGTTTTCTTTTTTCCTGATATAATTACCTCCAGTTAAATGGTATTGTGCTGA